TCTAGTGGAAAAGAGTATTTTCATATTTTCGTCTTTCAAGTATTCTTGAAAGTCACTTTTACCTACTACTTGAATTTTATTTATGTATTTAAGAGTTTCAAAAGCTATTTAGTAGTCTATTTCAAGAAATGTGGCCAATAAAGGGCTTTAGCTTTAAAAACCTAAAATCTTACCTATCCGGCTACTCTAAATTACTGATATAGAGAAACTAGTGTTAAATAATCAGAATATACAGAAAGCAATGAGAAAAATCACTGTAATGACACCACTCAAAAAATTTTAAAGACCATCCTTTAAATTCTACTCTTCTGCTTCCTGAGAATTAAATATGCTTATACAGAACTGTAAGAAAAAAATCTATCATACTATGTTCCTTTTTTAGGTCAATAATAGCTACTTTACAATTTGAATGTTTATCCTTAAAGGATGACGTTTTAACATATTTTGGTTCAATGCATAAATTAAGTGATTTGGACTTTAATTAGAGTCAGTATATAATACAAAGTTTTCACCTTAAATTATATTGTTTTTATAATGGAATAAAAATACCCACTTTGTATATTTAACAGCATTTTCTGTCAGAGTCCACAGTAAAATAAAAAGAGAACTAACTGTGCTTAAAAGTAGAAATCAACAAAGACTTTATGAAGCAATTTCTTTTCTTTGAATAACAATTAAACATAAAACTGAAATTAAGCAAAGAGGAAAGGGAAGAAATACAGGTGAAAAAACAGGACATCCTGATTCAAACAATACACAAATATGAATATTAAAAACAAATCAGAATGCACAATATTTACTCAGTCTACAGAAAAACTAGACTATTTGATAAACTTTCACAGAATTTTGAATCCCAGTGATGACACACAATAAGCAGCACAGATTTTTAAAGAACAAATTCCATTATCCTAATCTAATGGCTTCCTATAATAAAATGATCTTGAAGCCACAGTATTTACATTTAGCGATACCTTTTAATACTTCATATCACAAATAGCCTAGATTGCAGATATAAATCATTAAAGTTCCATGGGAAAACTGATATTTATATACAGGGGAATAGACATAGACATACAGATATGTGGATACGTTTATTTGTATTGATAAAATTAGTGGTTTAATGGTTCTTCCTATGACCCTGCAGGATTAAGGAAATAATAACCTGATATGTCAATGAACTCAAAGAGAGCACTATACAAAACTGGTATAATACCTACTGATGACTGAAAAATTCAAAGTCCTTAAAAGTAGGGTCAAGTTTTGTGTAGGTGATAGGTTCTAGGGTATAAATGATCAAGAGCTAACTGCTAGAAGTCTTCCAACACAAGTAAATATACTGCAGTGCAATTATACCAGTGGTATTTCTAGTGAAATTATAGATTTTTCTACAACTTTTAGGTGGTGGTCCTTCAAACATTCACACAGAAGATACTACCCTAACACAACAAAAGGGGGAAAAAAACAAAAAGAACATTTATTTAACAGTTAAATGTTTTTATTTACTGTCAAAAAAATAAAAATTATATACTAGATTCTTAGTTACAAGAAAATGCTTTTGCAGTAATTTTTAAATTTTCTGTATTAATTTTTTGAAAATCTAGTTACTTACCTTGAACCATATAATACAATTAAGGAGATAATGACTGTGAAGAGAGCTGGCATTTATGCAGAGCAAGCAACTGGTTCTGTGGTGTGCACTTTCCCAAAATATCTCCCACATGGGCCAATCCCTGATGCCTGAAATTCCTTTGCAGTTGGTGCCAGTTTGAAATGCAAATAAACCTATAGCACTCATCATAATTAAGAATATTCTGCACTAGCTTTTTAGGTCCTATGAATTCTTTATAACGACTCTTAACTATAACATACTTAAGGAAAGTGATACATAACCAGAAAATGTTGAAAAGAGAACTAAGAAAAAAGTAGAGGCAGGAATATAAATACAAAGGTATGGTTCAGGAGTGTGGGGTGAAAGAGCAGGGTTATAACAGCTGGGTTAAAGAGGAAGATGCGGGAACCGAGAGGGGCTTAAAGGGATGTTTAAAGAGGACTGTGTAGGAAAAGAAGAAGAAACCTTTCCCATTCTATATTACAGTTTCTTTTATGACCAGCCATATGGTATTTTAGAACTTTAAAAATATAATGCATCTTATAAGTTACATGCTTTAACTAAGGGATTTCTTAAAAAGTTCAATTTATCTATTGGCATTTAAGAACTAAAAGCTTCCCCCAAAATAACTCTTACTCATTTGCCTTTTAATTAACACATGATTATAGAAAATTTGAAAAATACTACAAAATATATAGAAAAATTAAAATCACATCTAATTCCTTCACCCTGTCATAACACTGTTAACATTTAGGGACAGGGGAAAGGGTTTGACTTGAAGGTTTTTTGTATGAAAATAGATCACAAAATTTAGATATTATATAGTTCTGTATATTAATTTTTATATAAAATTATATTATAATTCTTCCATGTCATTGAATATTCTCCATGTATTTAAGGGTCTGAGGTTTTAAGGCACACTAGTGGTTTCTTGATGTTTGTTATTCATGTAAACTTAGATTTTAAACTTTTCTTAATATAGAGCAAATTACTTTTAAACTTCCTTCTAGAAAAAATATACCAAGCCTTGAATACAACCAACATTGTTTGAATTCAAGTTTGAATTCAAGTTTGAATTCAAGTTTGAATTCAAGTTTGAATTCAAGTTTGAATTCAAGTTTGAAAGATTTTCATGATTTATATTATCTAAATAATTTAACTGAGAAAGTAAATAAGTGCTAAAACTAAAGAGTCAAAGTGCTGGATCCCTGTTTTAACCAAAAGGTGGACGGACATAAATCACAGTACTTGTACTGTGTGAGTAAAATACTATTTGGCTCTGTATACCATAAAATCAAGTAGAATTTAGGAGCTTAGGAGCCAAATTAGGCTGCCTTTGGCTTAATTTCATTCAGTTAGCCTTTGGAATTTTTTTTCTTTTTTTTTTTTAGACGTAGGGTCTGTTTCCTGCCCCAACTCTCCAAGATATGAGTGAGATGTGTGTGTGTGTGTACATATATATAAATTAATATTTGACTGAGGTCTCCAGTGACAAGACTTAAGAGATGTTCTTACTTCAATGGCATTATTTGGGAAAGAAGCAGTCATGATAAGTCTCTTTGATGGTAAATTTGGCATTAGAGGGAGGAACTGGAAAGTAACAGCAAAGTGACTGTGGTAAGGAAGAAATGAGAGTCTAAGAGGATTTATAGAAATGTCCAATCTATCCAGTATTGTCCAAGAAACAGGTTGAACTGGAGATGCTAGTTTTAGGGATAAAGGGACCCTTAGGGAATATGGACAAGAGGTATGATGTTCAGGGAAAAAAATGGATAGTTTGTACTGGTTAGCCATGGGGGATGAAAAGTCAAACCTGCTTTAGTATCCTGGGAAGTTTGTACTACTTAGTAGGAGCATAAGGTCTAAAGTTGAACGAGCTCGATTTCATTTTAACTGCGTACCTACTGTGGTCTATACACTTCATGTATTTCCTTCTCAACAATCTAAGTGCTGTTTACCTTTCACACATAGATGAAGATACTAGAGAATCTGATAAGAAACTAGCTCAAAGGTACACTGCTAGCAAATGGTGAAACCAAGATTCCAAGATCTAAGTCTGTTTCTAAAAAAAAAAATGCCTTTCTACAATACCATTTTGACTTATCAGAATTTAATCTAATACTTTTAAGCAATTTTACAAAGCAATCTACTTTCAGTCTGTACAACAGAAAAATATGCATGAAACAGAATCTACTAGAAGGTGGAAACACTTTAGATCAGCAATATCACTGATTTAAACATTACATTATCAGAATAACAGTGTCTAAAATTTCAAAACATTTCTAAAAACAATCTAAAGAGTGTCATTTTTTTCTTATGAAAAAGTTTATTATTTTCAAAATTCTCAAAATGAGTTTGGTATTAATCACTAGAATTTATATGGGCTTTTTACCAAAAATAACATTGTATTTTTTTATTTCAAATAGTTGTAATATAAACACTACATGAACCTAATAGTTTTAGGGACATTTCACTTTTAAGCAGTAATGTCCTTAGAAGGTAAGAAACAGTACATAGTACATTTATAGCATATATTTCCCATAAGCATATTTGAGAGTCAATTATAATAACAGTTAATATTCCGTTTTAGCAATATTTTTGAGAAAGAAGGTTCTTCATTATCTTTAGGTTTTATTATTCAGAGCCTATATGGAGTTGTTTTTAAGAATGTTTCCTTTAAATAGTGAAAAGACTACCTTGGAATAATCAAGAAAATACTGTTGAATTAATAAAGCCTTACTATATAGGTTTATTAAAAATCAATGTCTTTAGATATTGGTGGAAACTGGATACCTATTATGAAATATTAAAGTTTTGAATTTTGATTATGAAAAGTAACCATTTGACCACCTTTTCAGACTCACATGATTTAGAGAAGCAGGAAAATATACAATCATATAATTAAACAAGTAGATAGCTGAAGAAAATCTGGATTTAAAAAAACAGGTCTAATAGAGGCTTATTTGCATTATTGAAGACTACAATAAACATTTACACATTCAAGTATCTGAACTTACTAGTTTTTAAATTAATACTGAGTTAACTTAGACATAATCAAATTCACTCCCTTACAAAAATCCACCCCAAACTATCAACTGTGTACTGAACACCTGTAATACAGGTTAGTCGAACTGTCTGTCCTAAGACAAGAACATCTTGCACATCAAAAGATACTTCTAGGAATTGAGGCATAACGTAATAACATAAATGAAAAAGTTCAGAAGCCAGTGTCTGCCACACGTATACTATACTGTTTAAATTTTCATTCCTAATGTCTCAACAGAAACATTTTTTTCTTTTGTTGGTATAAGATAGTCACTTGTCAAAAAAAAAACAAAAAAACAAAAAAAAACACCTCGGCACTTCCAAAACCAAGCTCCATCTAATTTCTGGGTAAAATTCCTGCTATGGAGTACCTGAGGCTGGGTAAATTTTTGTGAATATTTAATCAGAGGCTTTGGGGGGGTATAAAATCTCAGGATAACCACGAAGTCTTCTTCCCAGCCTTCAAGCAGCTAAAATTTAAAATCTCCAGAAACACAGATCTCCCCACCCTTAAGGAAAAGGTGTGTGTGTGTCTGTGTGTGTGTGTTACATTTAAAGGCCTGCATAGATACGATCATCACTATCTGATAAGTTTAAAAATTCTCGTAGGAAGAATGACACGATTTTCCTTGTCACAAGGTGGGCCTGGGGGATCCCAGCCACCTGCAGTGACGCAAAGTTATGGAAAGCAGCCAAGAAATCTGGGACTCAGGGAGAAGCGTCCCAGTCGGTTCTATGGAAACGAGAGACGCGGGTGGCCTAGCACATTCCTGGCAGGGGATCGAGCTATGGAGCTGCGCAAACAGGAGGCGAAGCAGAGAAAAGGCTCAGCCCAGCACTGCAGGGAGGGGCTCAGTGCCCGTCCTCCCGCGGCAAGGCGGAGCCGAGTCTGCAACTGTAGCCCAACAACGCAGGCACTTCGCAACGAGTCGGGTGAGTGAGAAGGAACAGCGGCTGCGGAAAGCGTGAGAGGTAGGCACCCCCACCGCCGCTCACCCCAGCCCTTTCCCAGCCTCACAGCCGGGAGCGGCAAGAAACTTTGGAGGCACGGAGGAAACATCCCCACAGTCAAGGTACACTGTGTCTTCCGAGCTGAGGCCCTTTACCTTCCCGGCCGGAATGTCTGGGCTGCTTCCTTCAGGTGGTGGTGGTGGTGACAAGGTGGACGACTGCCGCTGCAGCACTCCCTGCTTCACTAATCCGGGCTCTGGGAAATAATTTCCCGCCGCGCGCTCAGTGGCCCCGGAAGCTATTCTTTCATTTCCGGGTGGTTGTCACTGACGCTCTCTAGCCGTTGTCAGGGTGTTCTGAGAGGGTTCCTGGCTGGATTCTGGCCGGAGGGCCAGGCTGCTGCTGTTAGATCAGCGCTGGAAAGTGGAGGTGGGAGACTGGTAAGTGATTTTTCTGAGTTGCCTCCTGGGCCTGGTATTTCCAGCCGGCCGGTACTCTCTCATCTTGGCTGAATCAAGAAATGGGCGGGAGAGGGCCGAACCAGTAGTCCCCCCCCTCATCCAGCCTTGTGGTGCTTGAACCACTGTGCTGCCAGAGAAGGCCCTGGAATCCTGCTTACCTTCACCACTCACAGTATCTACTTCCAGCTTGGAAGTTGACCTTGGGTCCCAAGTGCCCCTGGGGCAAGGTCTAAGACATCGGATACCGTGACTCAGTTTAGTTTTGAGTCTCTCTATCAATAATCAGAGTGTCCTTACTCTCCTGTTGCCAGGTTTCGGTCATCCTCGATTTTCGAGAACTGCTTTAACCATCCTCTTCTTGAGTACTGTTACCATTGCCCTGGGTTGCAGTGCCTGGGAAGCAAACATTTTGGAAGTGGAGTGAAGGGGTCTTACCCGATTTAGAATTAATTCAACATTCCTGCAGCAGTTTGAATTGGGTGACAGACTTTGTTTTCCTAGCTTTGTGCTAATGATATGAGAACAAGAGTGGGCTTTAGATCTAAAACACATTTTACCTTTTGAAAACACCAGTCATCAAGAACTAGGTGTGCCTTCAGAAGTGCTGGCTCACTGCTGCAGGCTTCCTCCATAATGAAAGATTCAGGAGAATTTTGGTAGCTAGAAAGATTCAGGAGAATTCTGAGGTAGCTAGAAAAGCTTTAAAGAGAAATTGTTTCCAAGAAAGGATAATATGAGGCAAGGTGCTCATTTAGCCGAAGATTTAAAAAACACGATGTAGTGAACCTTGCTTGGCAACTTCTTTTTTGAGTAATAGTTTATTCAGTAAGTAGTTTTCACTCACCACCAAATATTTGAATAATCACCCTCTTTACCAGAAAAGGCAACTGATTTTTCTTCAAAACAGCCAGTTCCAAAGAGTTGTAGGGATAACTGTACCATAAAGAAAAATGCAGTATGTTCGTTTCAAGGCCCCTGATGCATCAGCAAGTACCTTGTTACTTTTTGAGAGTAATTCACCATGTTTAGGACAGCACATTGATTTTATAGTCTTTTTAAAATGTATTATTTATTTATTTATTTTAGGCGAGGCAACCCTTGATTGACCTCACAGATTGCAAGGACCTCGTCAGTTTACAATCCCTTATTTTTTTTATTTTTTACGCCTACAGCACCTGGTCTTCCTAGGTGGTCTCCCAACCAAGTACTAACCAGGCCCAACCCTGCTTAGCTTCTGAGATCAGACGAGATCCGGCTTGTTCAGGGTAGCGTGGCCATAGACAATTTTAGTCTTTTTGATTAATAATTCAACCAACTTTTAAAATATCTTGAGTCCTTTTTTTACCATTTTTATTGAATCTTGTGTTTTTCCTTTTTTTCTCCAGTTGAAAGGGTTATAATAATTTAAGGGAGGTTACATGTTTCTATACAGCAACTAGTTTTTAGACAAGTAGTGATTTTTTTAAAATCACTTTTCTTGATTTGTGATATCTCCTTTTGAATTAGTATAGCTGATCACTAATACTAACCACAAATAACTATTGGATGCCAGGCACTTTAAATTCATTATTTTATTCAAACTTATTACAGTTCTACAAGAAAAATCATACTATGCCTATGTTGCAAACATTTTATATTGAGACTCAAAGATATTGTGACTGAAATTCAAAGATGTTCCCACAAATTATACAATTAAATGGCAATTGAGATTTGAACCCAGTCTACCTAACTCCACACTTTGGCTTTTTTTTTTTTTTTTTTTTTTAAACTGTGGTCTATACTTCCTCTCATAATAATCATTTCACTCTCAGGTAAAATTGTATAGATAGTCGTCACATTCTTGTGTTAAGGAATTAAGGGATTAATTTCTTATGTTAATGTGTTAAGGATTAAGGAACGTTTTATCATCCTATCTTAAACAAATACAAGCAATCTAAAGATCATCATTATATTAGTAACTCTAAGTCCAGAGTATCAACTATCTCTTTAAGCAGCTTTTCACACACATTTATATACATATATGTTTTTGTGTGTGTATGTATAGAGAAAGGAAAAGAGTGCATGAGCATATATTCATAAAATTGAACTTTGTAATACCCCGTGAGGAATTATTATTTACTGGTTATTGGCAAAACTGTTGTCTTCTACTCATACGACTCTCAGACAGATGGTAATTATTACTCATTTTAAGAGAATATGCTTAAACCTACCCATTCCAACATTCTAATGTAGAGGAATAGAAATATTCTAATTGTCAGGGAATTCACTAAAATCTGGTTGAAATGTCCAATACTGGAAATGACAGAACTTAATTCTAATTCTAAAGAATATCTTGTTTTATTGAAAGATACATGTATATATGTACAACTAGTCTCAAATTATTTTTTTGGTTTGTTTTTTAACTAGTCTTAAATTCTAATGTGTACTTTATTACATCGTATTGACTTAACTATATGAAAGATGCTTGCTTAGCATATTCCATAGGTAGATCTCAGTGAAATTGTTTTCAACCAAATTTCAGTGCTTATGAAGGCTGAGATTATATCAGCTTTGTTCACAATCTTACACCCAACATCTAGCACTTTGCCTGACGTAAAAGTAGGAACTCAGTAAACATATATGAAATTAACAATTTCTTTTAAATATTTTTTTTTTTGTCTACAGAAAAATATTTGTGCATGTAGATTTTAAAAAGGAACTTAGTGATGGACATGGACAATAGACTAGTGGTTTCCAGAGGGTAGGGGGGAAGTAGATGGGTTAAAGGAGGTCAAATATGTGGTGACAGAAAGAAATCTAACTATGGGAGGTGAACACACAGTGTAAACATATATATGCCTTACTGTTAAAAATAAAAAAATTAAAAGGGACTTACCACATAAATTCATACCTACTTATCATTATTCATTTTGACCTTGAAATACAATGCCTACTCCACAGTCATCCATAAAAGGCAATGTGGTATCCTGTAAAGATTGGACAATGAGATGGGCTATGAGAGTATACCAGATATTTATTGTTGCTTAATCTCTGCTATGTGATGTTACTTTTAATCCTCACAGCACTATGAGGTATAATTATTCTTTTAAAAATGAAAAAAAAAAAAGCAAAAATAAGATTTGTTAATCAACATAGGTTACACATAGTCATTCAGTATCAGAGCTCTGATTTGAATCAATGCTGACTCCAAAGACTACAGTCTTAACCACTTTGCTATATTGTCTCTGGTTGAGTTTTAATTCTGGCTCTAATTTACTACTAGATGAGATGGATTTCTATGAGGATCATATTTCTCTCTCATCTTTAACAAAGGGATTGGATTAGATCATCTATAAGGTCCGTTTTAGCTCTATAATTCTGGTTTTAGTTGACTCTCAAGTATTATCTAAATATAGCAACTCTAGTGTGCTAGAAAACCATGAGTGGAGTTTTACATGTATTTATTGGTATCTTCCACATTGGCAGGTGTGCACGTTTTTGTAATGGAAATAACAAGACCAAAATTTCAAAAGAACTCATTCATGCCTTTTGCCAGTTTATGACCCTAGTAAGTCAATGAACCTTCTGAGCTTATGTTTTCATATGTAAAATGAATCCATGAAACTGCTGTGAGGGTTAAGTGAAATGATATATATATATATAAAGCCTTGAACACACTGACTGACACACAGTCGCCACTAAATAAATATTGGTTCTTTTCTCCCTAATCTTGTCGAGATAAAAGAAAATTGGTAGATATAAAAATGCTTTATAAATTAGCCAAAGGTGACAAATGTTTTCACTTACAGTCTACTAGGAAAGATAAAGTTATATACACAAATAGTTTTTATTTGAGGGACAATTTACATGAAAACAAAACCATTGAAAACAAAACATAATGGAAACAAAGAAATTTTGCTTCCAGGAGGACAGATGAGGAAGGAATTCATGAAGAAGATAATGCTGAGTTTGGGCTTTAAAGGATGGTGAGGATTTTGGCAGTGGGACAAAAGTGAAGAATGTTCCATAGGAGGATGCAAAGGGTCAGAAAAGAAAATAGGGACTACTTCACTTTGGATATGTAGGATGGGTGAAGGCTAAAAAATGTAAAAAAGCTGAATTCAGGGCAAGCTCAAGATAGCAGTATGGTACTGTTATAGATGTGAGGCTTTTTACAATAAGCAATGACTTGTATAGATAACCAGGATGGGGTGGAAGGTGGGGTTGGCATTTGATTTCTTTGTTGTGGAAATACTCATTTGTTACAGAAATATACGAATATATAAATAAGCCAAAAAGAAAATGAAAAATTGCCCATTATCTCACTCCAGCCCCAGCTCATCATGGCCATGCCAGCGGGGTGCCCTCCTGGCTGAAGATCACCTCTTTCCTTCCTAGTAAAGAGATGACTGGAATGGTTGTGATGTCTCAGTCTGGCCCAGAAGGGGAAGGGGGCTCTGAGGAGTTATCTAGCCATCCTGTTTTTGAGCTTCCACCCTGAGGAGACATGGACTCACATTGGGACTGATCCAAAAGTATGTTGTCTGAGTGGGTGGGGCTGGGTGCTGGGACCCACCTGTGATGGCAGCCAGGTACTCCTGAGTCTCTCAAGCTGTGAGATCTTGTTGCTCCCCCTTCCCCCTTCCCCCTTCCCCCTTCCCCCTTGCGGTATCCTCCCAGGC